TCAAGATCAAAACAACTTCACAACTTCAGTAAAAGGACACAATGCATGATAGGACATACAATCACGCCCGCACAGTATCATGGTAGTGGCAGCCCTCGGCCACAGCGATATTCACTTCGACTTTTGTTTTGATTTGATTTTCAATTTATTTTTTATTTCGCCGTGAATTGCCATCGGATTTCAGTTTAATTTTGAAATGATTTTTACTTTGATAATGCAATTACTTTTGCTTTTAAATTTGCTTGCTTCTTCATTTTACTTTCAATCGTTCTTTTTCCTTTGTTTTGCAGTCACGTTCCATTTTACTTTCAGTTTTGATTTACTTTTTCTTTTATTTTTCATTAAATCTTTGAAAAATTGTAAAATTTGAGTGGCAGCCCTCGGCCACCATAGAAGCCATGTTTGATTTATATAAATTTCATTTGGAGTTTCCTCTTTTATTCTCTTCAACTTCATTTTCTAATGTTTTCTCTCACGGCAACATTTGCCGCAAATTTGTCAAAGCTGCACCAGGATTATTTTTCCGAGGAATTGGTTTGCTCATAGTCAGTTTCAGGAGATTCCCCGAAAAGCTGTCTGATAATTAGAAGGATCTTGATGAAGAATAACAAAACGTGCGAAATAATTTCCAACGACTTCTCTTAAATCTTGGATATTTTTTTGAGGGAGTTTCTTTGCTTAGTGAATGACGTTCAGCTTGCAGAAGATGATCAACTTGGTCTGACAGATCATCGGAGTCTAACAAAACACCGAAGCTTTTTCTGCAAATTGTGTTTAATAACTTTTAGAACAAATACCAACTCGTTACATTTTTAAAAACAGAAAGTCAGAAACTACACTGTTTAGAGGGCCAAAATAATAATATTTCGCAAAGAGAAATCTTCTCGCAAAGAGAAATCTTCTCGCAAAGAGAAATCTTCTCACAAACACAAATGTTGCAGTATTACAAACAGACCCTAAACTGATGAATGAGACCCTCTCGCCTCGTCAGCACTATTTTGTACAATACTTCTGTTTTAATTGTGTGTAAGGCGCAGTGGCCTGCAGCTAAATCGGAGTGTCATCCCTTAATTTTATTCACAGTATTTCATTTCGGTCCGTGAAAGATCATGAACGAGGTAGGCAATTTCTACATTTACAATTCTAAAACCTCTTTTTTTCGTTTTCCTCGTAGCTGATGATGATTCGAATGAACCGAAGGATATCTTTTTTTAATAAAGAGGTGTTATCGTCCATTCAGTTTCGGAATATTTTAAATTTTTGGTCACGGCGAGTCTCTAGTATCTGTGAAACTGAACAAACGGCTGTCAATAATCGTCGAAATACATCTTTTTTAAAGAGTCTCAGTTTCCTTTCCTTAGCTACAATTCCAAATTGTAAACGTCTCGGTTAAGTTCATTTCACATTATCAAATTAGCTCTTTCGGATCTAGTAGATCTGCATCGCGGAGAGAAAGATGAACATCAATTTCTTCCTTTGT